ATCAAAAACAGAAAGAACATTCATTAGAAGAAAAGATTTAAAATAAAGTTGAAGCAAAAGGTGACTCATGCGTTTATGTTGCCTGTTTTACGGGGACAAAACAGAAACCGATACATAGCTGCATCTCTTCTTTTATATTATCACAAGTTCCAAGTTTAAGATTGATCACAAATTTCTTGTATCGGGTCACTCACAGATGGAGTGACAACTTGACTCTTGAAGGGGCAAAGAAAATAATTCCTGTAGAATTAGGTATCATTCAGTTGTGTTCTCTTATATCACTGGCCAGAAAATCACAGCCATACGTTGCTGTGCCAATGAAATATAACCATGTTTTTGATTTCAAATACTTCATTAATCAAAGCACAGAAGGCGCTGGATTTGTTTGGGTCTCAGAATGTCAGAAAGGTGAATGTTGTGAGATTATAAACCAATTTGTTTTTGTATAGTGCCAACCAATGCTTTCCAGTGTTTTAACTGTAGTTAATTGGCTATAAGACTAATTGCAACACTGATAGTCAATTCAATGTTTATTTGACATAAAAATGAAAAAAAAATGAGCTGCCTCAACTGGGATTTGAACTCCAGATCTCTCGATTCATAAGCGAGCGTGCAAACCCCTCGGCCACGGTGAAGTTATATGTTAATGGCCTGAAGAAAACCATATCATTCTAAATTAGGGTTTGTAACTCTTATTATTTCGACGCTAAACCTGTTGTTTAAGACAAATGTAAATAATCATGCAGCTTACTGTAAGCATGTATATGTATAAAGAATGAAACAATATTAGAAATCTTCGACCATTCGGGAACTACTTTGCTTGAAAATTAATGCGCCTGTCATTTGACAATCCTAACGCATTGATCTCCCTTGAATTTTTCGGCGTTAGTGTACGGCGTTAGTGTATATATAAATGGAAGTAACCACTTCAAAAAAGTGGACTACTTAAGGCATTTGCAATTAACGGCATTAGGCTCTGAAACTCCGCTGCCATTATTTGTTTGGTCTGACGACCCAAACAAATAAAAACAGTGTCCGAGACTCAAAACATCCATTGACGGACAAAGAGTAAACTGGCTACAAGTGGAATGGATACAGGTACTAAAGGAAAGCCCAAAGTCAGTATTTGTAAATTAGAGCTTTAATGGTGAAGATTTTATGGAAATAGAAGTTCAGAATACAGAATCTAAAGTATAAGTGGACAAATGGTGAACAATATATGAAGTTATGATACCAAACCTCCAGTTTCTATTCAAAAGAAAAATAACTTGGTTACTTTGTGTGCAAAGAAAATTATCCAAAAAGAGTTCCATAATTATAATGCCACTTAACGAACATAAAGGAAAGAAAAGGATTATGTCACAATGGAATCGGATGAGAATGATTCTGATTTTTTACTAACAATGTAAGAGAGATTTTGACATAGGCATTGAGATTGATCACAGAGGAAGACTTTCAAAACATGCAGTGTGATAGTTGTATCAGACATTTACTGAAAACACAAGAATTTCATATTATTATTTGTATGATTGTAGAATTAAAATGTAACCAAATGATGCTTTTTGTTAATATTGTTGGGACAAAAAGGTGCCAACTGCCATATGGTACCTTTTTTGATATATTCGACATGCAAATGTTAAAAATCATACAATGCAAAAAGGGGCCAAGCATTCATATGGTACCTTCTTGCATTTGTCGGTCATAATATTTATTAGTGCAGAAAGGAACCATTTCCTTTAATTGATTAATTATCAATAATTAGTAATATATAAGCTTTCCAACTTTTTGAGTATGTACATTCAAATATTATCTAAATATATGTGAAGTTTCTTTGCCATCTTGTTAAAACCTGATTTGATATGGAACTTCAAATCTTTAAACGCGATTTTCTCGAAAACATGAAAATGTCACTTGGTACCTTTTTGCTTTAATGGGGCGTTTTGTGAAATAATTGTAATCTATAACCATTCATCGTGTCTTTCAAGCAAAAATATCCCCAAATATTTTCGAATTAAATATACCACGGCAACAAAAAGGCCTCTCGTATGCTTCTTCTTGTAAAATATATCCATGGATACAATTAATGACCGTAAGCACAATTCATCGGCTAACTTGCGGGTACAAAAATGTATATAATTATATAAAGTAGACTTTTTGTTTCCGTGAAAATGTTGAAACACTTTAGTCAGTCAAATCGTACATTATAATTTAACTGTAATTTAAAAACAAAACAAAAATATTTGCTATGTTATCTATTTCCTGATAAGATATGTAATCTCAAAGTGAAAATGGATGTACTACATGTTGACAGTATTTTAACTGTTAACTTGCCGGTTGTATACCTCCCTAATCGGTTTAAACTTCACGTACACTATTTATAAAAAAACTATTTAATAATCACCTGTCATCCATTTAATTTTGGATTGAAAATAGTACTTACCTTTGGTTCTGTTGGTCCTATTAAACACGTGTTTAGACCGGAAGTGACTGTTGCATGTCGGGCAGCAGCCGACCCAATCATTCAAGCTCCAATAATACACAAGTCATACATTGTTTTATGATATTATGCAATGATATTACATAAACATATTATAGAAGTCGAATATTTAAACCAAATTGAAAGTCGTTATCAACCATGAAATGTGTGTATCAACTAAGTGATAGGCCTATGCATAATCATGCTGCAGCTGTTTATTTTAATGTGTCAACTGACTAGGGCGTAGATTGTGTTTCGGGTTTTCTCTACCCCCTATCCCTCAATTATCATATTAATTTAAAATACATAAAAGGACAAAAATACTACACTATTTAATAAACATTCCGTGTATAAGGACAAAAACAATACACTTTCAGCAACCATGCCTTGTATTAGGACTAAATTTCTACACTATTCAGCAAACATTCCGTGTATCAGGACAGAATTTCTACAATATTCATCAAACATTCTGTGTATCAGGACAAACTTTTCACAATATTCAGCAAAAAATCCGTATATAAGGACAAAATTTCTACAATATTCAGCAAATCTTCCGTGAATCAGGACAAAATTCCTACAATATTCAGCAAATCTTCCGTGAATCAGGACAAAATTTCTACAATATTCAGCAAATCTTCCTTGAATCAGGACAAAATTTCTACAATATTCAGCAAAATGTCCGTGTATCAGGACAAAATTTCTACAATATTCAGCAAAATGTCCGTGTATCAGGACAAAATTTCTACAATATTCAGCAAAAAAGTCCGTATACATGTATCAGGACAAAATTTCGACAATATTCAGCAAATCTTCCGTGAATCAGGACAAAATTTCTACAATATTCAGCAAAATGTCCGTGTATCAGGACAAAATTTCTATAATATTCAGCAAAATGTCCGTGTATCAGGACAAAATTTCTACAATATTCAGCAAAAAGTCCGTATACATGTATCAGGACAAAATTTCTACAATATTCAGCAAAAAGTCCATATATCAAGACAAAATCTCTATAATATTCAGCAAACCTTTGTGAATCAGGACTTTCTATAATATTCAGCAAAGATGTCGTATATCTACAACTTCCGCATACATGATTCAAAACACCAAAGTTAATGTTATCTCTTGAATAACGTTTGAAAATTATTTGACGGAAGAAGTATAGGATGGATATAATCTCACTGAATACGAGATTTCTCATCTATTTTGGGGATTTTCTGTCAAATATTCTATATTGTTTGTAATTTAGTGCACCCTGTGGACTGCCAGAACACATTTGTTTCCAAACAGATGCTGGTGATATTTGGAGAAAAAGTAAATAATTTGAATATTACAATCAATTATTCATAACATTCGTGCTATCATCCACAGAGTTTGGGATTAATACTCGCCAGAGTATTGCAGTAAGAGAGGTGTTAATTGGCCTAATTTAGTGAATAATAGACTGTATTGCTTTAAAGCGTTTGAGGTCGTGTCGTGCTTAATATGTCATTTGTATTAACTTGTAAGTTGAATTAAAATAAGATTTAAATTTGAAGTTTATAAAAGGAAAATACCATACATGTATTCACATTACAAATTAATTTTAAAGATAGCAACAGCTATTATGTTATCTTCTTCTTCCATTTCTTCCTCTTCTTCTTCTTCTACTACTACTTCTTATTTTTATTTTGTTGTTATTATAATTAATATTATTATTATTATTATTATTATTATCATTTTATTATTATTATTATTATTATTATTATAATTATTATTATTATTATTATTATTATTATTATAATGATGATGATGATTATTATTATTATTATTAATATTTAATTTTATTATTATTATTATTATTATTATTGAAAAGTAAGAGACAAATAAAAAATAAATAACAAAATAGATATTAAACGCTACGTCCTAATTGAGTAAAATGAATAGTTTTCTTTATATATTTGGAAAATCATACAGAAAGTCTTTTAGTTCTAAGCATAAAGGGCCTTTTGACCTTACAAATGCAGCTTTTCAGCATTTTCTGACAAGCTGTGTACGAGGACTATAAATTAGTAATCAACGAGGTGTTCCGACTGTTGACCTGGTTATGGTACCTGATTTATTCCATGCAATACAATGACATTCTTATCGATGATTTTCCATATATACTTGTATATGATAATCCCCGTTTACTGGTAAAAATATACTTTGTTATAATCCATGAAGATTTTATCAAGTGAAGAAGCTATCCAGCTAGCGAACGAAAGGTCCATGACTCTTAATAGTTTCTTTATTGAAATAATTTACGAAGTGAACCCTAGGGTTTGGGAGTTGGGGAATGTCTTTCTTCACCAGTATATAAGTAAAACACGTCTGCCGCCATTTGACGTTAGTGTAAGCATAACATCATTGTAATTAACAACAGGTTGTATCGTTCCGCATGACGCAACGACGTTGTGCTATAAATATACATTACTTCCTTAAACAACCCTCATAAATCGCAAAACCTCTCCATAACATGTCATGTAAATATTCAAGTCTAAACTCATAAATTAAAAATTAGTTTATTCTCATAAAGCATGAAAATATAAATAACGATATATGTACAAACATGTAATGATTTAAATGAGACGCGGTCTCTTGTTGTTCGTTATCTGACAATTAAAGTAACATTTAAGGACTGATTTATCTTTTTAAATATCATTTGGCCCTTGTGTCTGAGGAGTTGTCTTTAAGGGTCGAGGCATCATAAATGCAGCCACCGTTTAGCCCTGCTTGGTCGTAAGAGGCGACTTAATCGGTTCGAATAACTGGAGTCTATGCATTTGTTAGCTCTAGCAGGTGAAGTGTATTTGACCCCCTGTTGTTGCTTTAAGTTTTAACACCCGAGGTTAGCCAAAATCATATTTCCTTTTTCCGTGCCATATGAACTAAACTGTGTTTGTGCGCCGTAGATCCAAACAAACAAAACAATATTATTTTTTTAGATTAAATTTAAAAGAGTATACTACCATTTTTTCTCAACTGAAATGGATCCTTGTGTCGTATAGTATACTTTGAAAAAAAAACTACTTACGACAAGACGTGTGTATCATGTAAATACGTATAAGAAGCCATTTAATATTATATTTCAACAATTACACATAATCAACTATTTTGAAGTGTAATAGTATTACGTGAAACGAGTCAGTGTATCGTTTATATGCGACCAGGAAACACACTATATATAGGTTCAACATAGCAACATATTCAGTCTTATGTTTGTTGTACAAGAAAAATAGTTTATACTGTTGTTGAACACGGTAGCTTTTTGATCTGCCTTTTCCGAAACATTGTTTCTTTTTCTGGTAAGGTTCTTGTTTAATACATTTGCAAATATTGCAAATATTTAAAATTGTTCTTTTAAAAAAAAAACACAAAAAATGCTAATTGTAAAAACGAACTCTAAGTGACAGCTGTAAAAAAATAATGAAAAAAGTTACATACTAAAAATATATGATATATGTAGGAAAGAAATGTTTTTTTCTTACATCCCGCTCCCATTTAAAATCGCATCAAACAGACGCAGTAAATAAACCTAATTGTTTTAAATTTGAGATCGGGCGACAATAAACTTTTTACAAATTCCAAAAAAACCTTTATCTAAAACCTCATAACTGTATTTGAAATGTAAAGGATTGAATAACAGATGCCACGCCAAACATATTAAGAAATTATGTATCTCGAGAAACATAACTCAATAAAAATGCATATTCAAAAGAAGAACTTAATATTTTGTATTAAATATTTAGTGAGATTTGTCAAACTAAACGCAATTGTGTTAATTCTATAAAATTATTTGATGAAGCAGTTTTACCGCTTTTTTACGTCATGCTGAAAATCTAACCAGTTTGAATCATTGAGATTTCGAATTAGATTTCATATTGAAATAATCTAGGAAAATATTTAGTGGTATTCTGTCCTTCTGCAGAAATTCTTGCACAACAAGAAAAGCAACAACAAATAAGGACAAAAAATTAAACAGCAACAGAGGCAGTTTCAGTTTGACAAATTTCTTGTTTGCCGTTTGTCGTTATCAAAGTATACTGCTCAGCATGGGTACTAGTCTTCGTTGATGTCCTCTGAACATCTCTTTTACTTTTATTGCGGCACAGTCTAAAACACAGAATTTTATGAACTTCCGTTCTGAAGTAAGACCCAGTTATGTAATAAATGAACACATAGCACGCGTAGTTTGAAAACGTAATTTCTTCTACAATTTTTCTAATAGTGAAATAAATCAGATATTTTTGCCACTGTGGGTCCTCCGACCATTTGTTGTATGGTATTGTATGTTCCCCAGTCTTGATCACTGATTGCATTGCATATACGATAGTAGCTGGTAGTAAAGTGCAAATCAGATAAAATGAGACAGATAGAAGCGTAACGGTCGATGTCTGATTTGCGTTTCCGCGATTATTACTATCGCGATGCATCCTGAAAGAAGCTCTCCGCGTTAAAAGTTTAATTTCGCGAATTACAAGGATATTGAAAATTAACACTAATAGAGGGACCACGGCAAAAATAAGCATTTCAGATATCCACGTCCATATGACATAGAACGGTTTTGCTCCTTTCCGGTAATAACATAGCTGCCGTTCAACGTTAAAAGTCCACATGTACATTTGCACAGATCCCAGGAGAAAAGAAAATACTGTCAAGACAAACACTACTATACATGCCCGACGAACGGTGCAGAATTGTTCCTTTTTGAAAGGTAAGCAGACGGCAATATATCTCTCTGTCGTAAAGCCAAGAATAAGAAGCGGGGCTAAATATTGCGGTATGATGTATAAAAAGTTGAATATTTCACACAATGTCGGCTTGTTATATGTTGAAATGCCCCATGCTATATGCAGTTCTAGTAACAGATGAAGCCAAATGAAAATGAAGTGAACAATCGCAATGGAACCGATGTAGATAGCGGAAGAGTTTGACTCTCGCATACGTTTAGACAACCAGATTTTCATGGTTATAGGGTTTCCTATAACACCGATGACGTACCAAATGGGCGTAACTATCCGGTCGATCATCATGGCCGCTGGTGCAGCTATTCGGAACGCCTCCGCTGTGGACACTGGTTGTCCATGACTTGGTGTAGGAAGCGACGTATTGAGGATACCGGATATGTTCTCCATTGACAGCTTCCTGTAAAATATAAATGAAACGTTCAAATAATAGCACTACATGATACGCATTATACGATCTCAAGGGTAAAGTACCACTCGTCAAGATAAATTCATCACACCAGAAAGGTGACATACAATTCTATATAAGAGGTCCGTCTAACGGCTTACATTTAATTTCAAGCTATTTTTAAACAGCTCATATGCACATCCTTACTTATACTCTATGAGTATAATTGAGTCAGACATACAACATATAAGGTGTCAAACATTCATTTTAGAATCCAACGTTCTGTTGAATTTATTTTGGCAACATTTCAAAACAATTTACATATCAGACTCGTTAAGTTTTGAGTTTTAATTTTAACGCTGTTAATCTCGCCAAATAAGCATAATTCCTTTTTATCAACCATCAAAGTTTGAAACAAATGAATCACTGTTATATGGAACACCGATGTCAAGTGTTGTACGCGATAGTTAAAAAAATGGGAAAATGAGACAGCAAAGGCGTTCCATAATGTTATGAATGCTTTGATCAGTTTCATGCAATCGCTTCATCATATAGTCAGAACGTTTAAGCACTACAAAACTCAAAATCATAAAATCAAGCATAAATATTTATAAAATAACGCCATTATGTCTGTTACCAAAAATCACATGAAACACAGTATCTTTAAATAAAGCATTTTTAGACATTAATACATCATACAAATATTATATGATATAATATATGAATATATGATATATATTTTGGCATTTCCATTACTATAAAAGTATATTTCACTTTTTGCGATAATATCTGTACTGAAAGAAACAAAACTGAAATGTCACATCACTCGAAGGCTCTGTTTAATACACCATTTCTTACCTCTAAGACGATTTTCTTGCATATTATAAAAGGTCAATGTAAGAATTTGCCAGTCAAACTTTGAAAAATAGGAACAACCTTTCATTTCAATGACACTTATAGCATTATTTTAAGATCTCATGAAACTAACGAGAACAAAAACCCTACTGGCTGTATCTTGTGTATATAGCCGAATGTGAATCATACCAGTGACAGAGCTTTATATTCTCATGTATATAAGGTTTGGAAAAATATAAACGCATGTATTTACTTATTATATCCTGTAAATACATGTACAATGAAATACTAACAAAAGGTTTTTAAAATCTCTTACAAAGAAGAAAAATAACAATTTATTAAGGCACATTATGCCCCAGAAGCGATTAAATTTTTACTTCTTTGGAAAGGGCAAGCGTGTTTTATAACGTTTACATAATAGTTTAAGAGTATGTTAGATGCTTGTAACCTGAAGACATTAGCGCAAAATGTAAAAATATTTGTCATAAAAATAGCAAAATGTAAAAATATTTGTCATAAAAATAGCAAAATGTAAACAATGTTGTAACGTTATTTTGACTTCCATGCAAAAACGCTATAACAGTAATAATTACAGAAAGCAACAGAAGAAATTGATGGTTCAGGTAATTGGCCAATGAGAATTTGTCAACTGTAAAAGTGCATAAAAAATCTTAAAAAATGAAAAAAGTATTTCTGTGGCATTATAGGTCTTTAATGATCGTTATTTTCATGGAAAGAGAGAGATTTATGTATCAATATAAGTAGATACGGAGTAAGGATGCAAAAAAGTTTTTATACTAATGGAAACAGTTTTATACTATAAATGTTTTCCAATCAAAACTGATAAAATATGTTGTTTTTTTTTTTTTTTTTGTTAAAGAAGAAAATGTACGAATATTTACAATTCGGGAGAAATCCGAAACGTGTAATTCAAAATAGGGAAGAACTTTTAAGTGATTAGCCTTTAGAAAGGGCAAACATGAGTTTTATAAGATAGATAAATACAGAATCCCTAAAGAAAGCCCAACACGGCAAAATTGAAAATGTTGTTCATGGATGGTACTGGAAAGTGCAAGTTACCGTCCACGCCCCCCCCCCTAGCACCGGCTTAAGCAGAATTCAACATTTAAACATGAAATAGTAAAATTTTGAATTTAGAAACATCCGCAGATGTGTTCATACGGCGTATATCATGGAACCTTCAATGTGACACTTCCGTGCCATTCCATGAAAAGCGGCGTATGGTCCCCAAGTAATAAAAAGCGTGTTTTTTTGTTTGTTTGTTTTGGGTTTTACGTCACATCGACACAGTATAGGTCATATCGCGACGTTCCAGCTTTACTGGTTGAGGAAGACCTCAGGTGCCCTTCCGTGCATTATTTCAGGCACGAACGGGCACCTGAGTAGAACCACCGACGTTCCGTAAGCTAGCTGGATAGCTTCCTCACATGAAAGAATCCAAAGTCCCTGTCGGGATGCCCTAAACGAAAAAACAATGGGCGGAACTAAATAAAATAGAATTTTGAAAGGGGATCAGAGGTTATGAAGCCTGCGTATCGCAGATAAGACGTCAAAAGACAAATTTAAAAAGCAGGCAACATATCCTAAGGGTGATTCAACATTATTCAAGTAGGAATATTGGAACAACCCAACTAGAAAATTCCAAAAAGTTGAAACTAAAATACCACAAGCACAACAATAATGCCGTGCTGAACGATCTTCAAGATCGAAAATATAACATCATTGATTATATGTACGGGGAGACTTTTACAGCCGCCACACGGCACAAATTATACGGATGTGATCATAAAATAGATAAATACAGAATCCCTAAAGAAAGCCCAACACGGCAAAATTGAAAATGTTGCAGGCTCGGTTTGATTGAGCCTGTTCATGGACGGTACTGGAAAGTGCAAGTTACCGTCCACGCCCCCTAGCACCGGCTTAAGCAGAATTCAACATTTAAACATGAAATAGTAAAATTTTGAATTTAGAAACATCCGCAGATGTGTTCATACGGCGGTTATCATGGAACCTTCAATGTGACACTTCCGTACCATTCCATGAAAAGCGGCGTATGGTCCCCAAGTAATAAAAAGCGTATAAAGTTTAAATAATAGTTTTAAACAAGTACATGATAATTAACTGAAGAAATTATAGCTGAATTTGTAATTATTTGTTATAAAAAGCAACAAACTACTAAATCATTGTAAATACTTATTGCCATAAAAGGCCATAGAGCAAAAGATCCTTTAGATATTTGTTTTTATTTATTGTTATCGATAATCGATAAATTATCGCAGCATTTCTCTATAAATGTCAGATCTATTTTTACCTTTGAAATCACAGACAAATAAAACATGTTTAAATAACCCATACTGTCATAATTTAGATGTTATAGCGCAACATACAGACATTTCAATAATTAAAATAGATTTATAGGCTCATAAATCAGTACACTGTTTACCTATATCTATAGGTATAAAAACTGACAGAATTTAGAAACTTGCACTTTAATTGTTTTCGATTAGAATTTATAGTGATGGCAAGTAAAGTGGATCTCTTTTAATTGTATTGATTTATACTTTAAAAAAAGTATGTTGGAAAGTGAGTCATCTTGGTACAAAGCAGATTTTTCGTATTTTTTTAAAATGCAAAACGTCCGTATATAGTCTTGTATATTGGTATCAGGATAAACATAGTTTTTGGTAAATGAGTTACTATAAATGAGATATGATTTTGTTAACTTTGTTAGCCTCTAAGATACCTGAAATAAACACATATTTTGCATGCTACCATCTGATAGAGTCAATACATTTTGAATATCACATTTAACAATTATTTTTATTTATAATAAAACCTAACTAATAATTACATAGATTTAAAGCATAAAGCAAGAAAAATGAAGGGCATCATACATAACATTTCTATACTATATGATTAATACTACAACTCGTTGGAGGAAGTTCATCTTCATTGAAACGATATCGAAATTATATGTCAAAATGCAAGGTTGTAGTAAAACTTATATTAAGCTATAGTGTACCAGTATGTTAGATCAAATATTGGCACGACACCCAAACCTATTAATTTCAAAGTCACTTGAGGACAAATTAACCGGCCAGTACAAATTCGTCATTTTACATTACACGACATATACCATTAATCTGAGGTTATTTATAGTATCATAAGCCATTACGATTTGGTTTCAGGGGAGGGTATCAATTTTTTATTTTATTTTTTTACAATTTCACTATGCATACAACATGTTAGGCTGTACAGCAAACACTTTATCTGAATATATTGATTTCTTTTTGGTTGATATGAAAAAAAAATGATTTCATAAACTGATAGGTTTTCAAAGATAATGGCATTATAACTAGTAAAGTGTTCCACATTCCACTATTTTGTACAAATAGCGGGCGTATTCAACGACGGTAAATCTGTATGTCTGCCCCTCCAACGCCCCCTCTCCTCACGCTAAAGTACTAGGGACATAACTAACCTTGAATATCTAAAACCTACATTTTTTTCACCGCGAAAATCAACCTTAAAAGCAAACATAAAAATATGTACATTCAAGCATTTGATAAAAATACGATTCATTTGTGAAACAGTCGAAATTAATCACCAATATTTATCAAACTTACAAGAATATCATTGTTATTTCTCACTGTAAATTCTTATAAAATATAATCAAATAGAACTTGTGATCACAAAGCATCTTTTTTCACCGAGGTTGTTCCAATGTGAAAATGTTTTTTAAATTATTAAGATAAGCCATTCTTGTACTCAGTGTATCGATATTACGGGGAAAATGTTGAAGTCAGCAAAATAATTCGAGAACTATTTTAATTCGCCATATTATATATAAATACGCAGCAATTTCCTATTGTAACGTACATGTATACGCCGTCATATCACATCATTATTCGAGAATTGCCATGGGATGTAAATGTAATTTTGTGAAACAGATTTGAATCATTTTTAATATTTTTGTGAGTTACATAATGGCAAGGTAATTTCGTTGTTTGTTGCCTACGATCTAAGATTTGATAAAAATAAGATTCATTTGAGAAACAGTCTAAATTAATCACCAATATGTATCACACTTAAACAAATATCATTATATAGTTTCGAATTTTATCGTTAAGTTTTGACAGGAACTTAGATGTTACTATAAATACGTTTTCATGTCTGGTATCGTGCAACTTAAATTCGAGTATCGCGGCATTAATAAATTGCAGCTATTTAGTAATTCAAACTCAGAAAAGATTTATTATTTTAAATGCAAAATGTCAAGTTTATGAGCAAATTACACGAGCAGAACTTCCAAATTGTTTTATTTTTAGATTATAAAGTTATACGTACATGTGTATAGAATACAACACGGAAATCTAATTCAAAGTCTCATTTCAAGGTATACAAGTATCAGTGAACTTTTGGAACACAATTAGTCAAAATACAGTTATTCTTTTCTATTTTTCTATTAATTTCACACAAAAATGACCCTAGTGATTTAAAATCATATCACACATTTGTTAGTATCTCCATGCCCGTACCAATCTAATGAGATAGATAGATTTTTTGTCAGTGAAAATATGTAAGAATCGTTCCAACTGAATATATAACTGACTGTCTTGGAAATATGTTGATGATCAACAGAGATTTTGATTATTTGAACTGATTCAAGGGATATTGTTTAAACATGAAACGAAAAAAAAACTGAATTAATTTTGTCAACCATTTTAAGTTAAATTATTCAATTCAAAAACACATGAAAGCGAGTTATGCAATATATTATTGAAAATGTACTAAATAATAAATAGATAAATAGAGGATATTTGTTTAGTTCAGTGTAAGATCGGAATTTATCACACACCCGTGCCGATTTTGCGACTCCGTAAATATGGTATTGCACGGCCGTGCATATATTTTGACGTGACGTCATTAGCGTTATACAAACATAGTGTAAAGACGCGCTAAATGTTAGCGTTATACTGTAGGCGCGTCAATGAAAAATGACTCTTATTTCACTTTAAACGGTCTTTATTTTGGGTATGTGATAAATAGAATATTAAATTCGTGTAAGTTCATTACTGAATTTATTGCACTCGTTGAATAAAATAATATTATGCTCGCCAGAGGCTCGCATAATATAATTTTATTCAACTCGTGCAATAAATTCAGTATTGAACTTACACTCATTCAATATCCTCTATATATTTCACCGAGTGAGCACCAAAAGGTATATTTCACGAGTGGCGCAGCCACGAGTGAAATATGAACTTTTGGTGTTCACAAGGTGAAATATATTTCGATCTTACACTAAACTAAACAAATTTTCTTTTTATTATATGCAAAGAAACGTTTTAAAAAGACATTAAACCTAATACTGAATGAAAAGCGCGCCAAATAATAATACAACGTGACGTCATTTACGACGTCACGTCATTAAGTTGGTACCCAGTACTGTGCACGCTTGTATTTCACTGAAGCAAGGTAAGGGGCTTAAATTCAAAACAGTGAAATTATCAAAGTGGTAATTTCACTGTTTCAAACAGTGAAATTACCAGTTTTATATCACTGATATATTTCTATAAACCACCGAAAAGCATGTAATAAATAAATAAATAAATAAATAAATAAATAAATAAATAAATAAATAAAAAATAAATAAATAAATGAATAAATAAATAAATAATTAATTAGATAAATAAATAAATAAATAAATAAATAAATAATGAACACTGTGTATTCATACGGCAGTAAACATGGCGCCGTTAATGTGACACGCTCGTGCCATTCCATGAAAAGCGGAGAATGGTCTGCAGACAAAAGTATTTGTATGTGCTGAAAACATTAGATTAACCGGCCGGACTAAATAAATTGTAATTAGAAAGGGGGTCAAAAGTTATGGAGCCTTCATATCATAGCCGAACGTCAGAAGAATTTTTTAAAGCAAGCAACATAACTCTAACCCTGATGGAATCATCCGACAAAAAAAGCTAAAAGTGTTTGAAGAAAAATACCACAAACATAATTACAATGTCTTCTTAAACGAATCTTTGAGAAACAAAAAGTAATAATTTTTATCTTAAATATCTCAAAAAGTTGTAAAATGGAATACAAATATACATGAACTATGATATGCTACTGCAATACAAGTTATCTCGACAGAAGAGTACACGCACACAGACACACAAATATACACAAAACAACAAAAAATAAACAATAGAAATACAAAAAAATAAACAAAAATAAAAAAAAAACGAACAAAAACAAGCATAATTTGAGTTATGCACGCTTTTCTCGTGAGTTCCCTATATTTCACGTAGTTAAACCTACTTTTTGTTTAGTTACTTTCTGTATTTGAGACATTGCATTATATATTAAATGCTAATTTACATGTTAACAAAACAATAACAAAATATCAAAGAGAAAATAGGTAAATCTTTCATTTGCCAATCTAAACTGATTTTACCTGATTTTGTCCCCTTTTTTACAAACAAGAATAAGGATATAAATCCGTTCAGGAACGTAACGTAACGTAAACAACAAGCGTTTCTACATCCTCACGTTATTTGCGTCACATTCAAACAAAACGCAGCAGACGTTCGTTTTAATTTATATAAGTGAGGAGAAGCTGTTTATACTTGAAGTTGTATGTAAACTTGAACAGAATATACGATGTAAAAACTGCCCTTCTACAAACATGTCACGACCAAAGTTTTCTTACACGAAAAATCCTGTTAGATTCAAGAGCTACATATAAGCATGACATTGGGACTTGTACGAACATATCCGATAGATGTCACTTCATTTTAAAGCGTAGTTTTGAACGAATTTCTCGGTATAAAAATTCCGTTTAAGGCTTTTAAACACTGAAAACTAATTTGTCAAACAGACTTATGTTAAATATCATTTAACTTGATTAAAATAATATTCATCTATAAATCAAATTTATATCATCATAAATGGTGTTATTATGCTTATACAAAAGATTATATACAAGTATGAGATGTTTAAACAATATAACGTTTATTTTGCTTGCATAATTAGGGAACATATATAGCTTTTTGCATTTAACAAGTGAAATTTATGTGCAAAAGATATCCAAAATAGTATAGAAATAAATCATTTTAATACATTTTTTCAACTCTTATTTTACTATTATTTACAAACAATCATATCTTGTTTAAAATGGTTACTATATAATACCAAAGCATAAAACATAAATATCAAACACATCTTTTTATTTCTCAAAAAAAAAAAATTGGGAGAAATATGTATTCGTAAAATTGAGTGAATGAAGCAAAAGCAAAATTATATTCTTCAAAATGCTTAAAAATAATTTCTTAAAAGATACATCCAGATTCATCTGAAACTCAAACTTACCTAGCATTCTATGAAAATTATAATATCATAATTCCGATGATCATATTTTCTTACTCAATTTTTAAAATAATTAATACATTTGAAAACATGAAATTAAAAACTTGCCTTCACAAATCCGCACAAAAGTTCGTCTGTAATTTTCAATCGTTAAAAGTCACAGAAACTTATGTCAGTCTCCAGGCAAACCAAGTAAACTTTCTTTTACGACGTTATCTTGTTTATAGTAAACGGTAAAGAGAAATAATCAACATTGATTTATATCAAGATTCCGTGTAAACGATCCATTGCCTTATACTGCCAATTTATTCCTCCTTCTTGAACCATTTAAACGCTTCTCCCTTTTAAATCTCGGTTAATCGTCCACAAGGAGCAGAAGTGAACGATCTAACAGTATCGCTGCACGAAAAGCAGGGTCTTTGAAGACTATTATGATTTTCAGAAAACTTTAACTGACGCCGATGAAATAACGCCGTTCATATCTGGTTCCTTTAGGCGATTTGTCGGTGTTAAATAGCCAAGCGCCACTCAAAACTGTTTACTAAATGAAGCATTTCCGGTGCTATATTTTACATGAGTTATTGGGAAAACCGTCTCCAAAATAAATATTCTTCTACACATATTGTGACGTTAAATTGGTTCTAGTTTGTCTGTTTCTATATTCCCTGACAGAATACAAAACGACATAAACAGTAAAGTCATAATTTCGGTCTTTTTCAGAACTTATAGTTTTCAATTAAATTTAACGAACATTGTCGAAACAATTAAACGAGGTATACATAGGCAGGTTCATTTACATTTAGGAGCCAGCATAATTCTTGTTGGAGTCTTAAAACAAGTGTCTAGAAATTATTTGTAAATGCTTTCCCAAATACTCTAAGTCTCTTGGATGAAAAACATTCATTCATTAATTAAACTAATCATGACCTGACACAGCAAACTATGTGAAAAATTTAAATATTTTTCAATAAACGTCGAGACAACGCGGAGACAAAAAAAAACATTGTTCCACTTAAACAAGTCATTCGTGTCGTAAATGATTATATCTAAAACATTCAACAAACATGTAACCAGTCAAACAGTCAAAAACTGCAAATAAAAAAAAAATTCTTCTACTTGCTTCATCATAATATGAAAGTAAACAAAGCCTAGGAACTGGAATGTTAGATTTAAAAAATAAATCGTTCATTTTTTATTCTACAATTTTCTTTGGTGTCATTTGTTATTTCATGCATCGCTTCCGTTTTCAATGGGAACAACTGGAAACAAAGTGATCCCTCAGAAGCATTAATCACAACAAAGTTACATGAAAATTGCAGACTCGGTTTGATTGAGTCTGTACATGATGGATACTGAATATGTGCAACATCCCTCACGCCTCCTAGCACCGGCTTGAGCGGTACGAGTGGTACTCAATTCTCAACACTTAATAGTGCTGGTATCAATGATCCCGAAGGACCAGAAAAATATAACAACACTGAAGTGAAGTACGGGGCAACTATAACAGCTGTCACATGGTACTTGACACCTGCTGTTGTAAAGCATTAAAATCTGGAAACAAAGTGATCGATCGGAAGCATTGATCACAATAAAATTAGATGAAAATTGCAGACTCGGTTTGATTGAGTCTGTACATGAGGAATACATGAATAAGTGCAACATCCCTCACGCCCACTAGTACCGGATTGAGTCAAACGAAGTGTGCGACTTTAAATATATTTGGCTTTATTTTCATTAATCTCCACTCTTTTGCCATTTTTAAGACACTTGTAGTAACATTAAAGTTAATTATATTTTTTTTAGAAAAAATATTTACTATGAAAGCCGAAATGAAATGATTTTATGAAATTAATTGTATAAATAAATATGTCATTAATCGTCAATAAATATACATGTCTTAAGTTCTGAGAACTAAATCATATCGTAATTTAAATCAAAATAGAATTGAAATTCATTAAATTCGTAGAAATTAATTTAAATTTATTGGATTACGTAGAGCATGTAGGCAGGAATGCGTTTTTTATACAATAACACACATAATCATCAATGTAGTGGGCGGATTATATTGAAATATTTAGATTTCTGTATATCTCGATGTATTTTTGTTAATAATATATGTAAAAAAAATATATAACATGTTTCAATTTGCACTCAAATTGTTTAGAAAATTTTAAGTGGGTTATTTAACTCAGAAAAGCCTAACAGACATTCACTACTTTAAACAGCTAATCTTGGTCGTATTAAATTCCATACATCCCAAAAGTGTTTTTTTTTCTCCGAAATAATTCATCCTTATCAAACGTCCAGCAAACTTAAGTCAGATAATGTGAAACGCTTGTTTTTGTTGTATTTGACAAGAGCTTTACAGATACGGAAGAGGGTTTCGTGACTTTACTAACAACAAATGGATCTGTTTGGAAAACAATGTAATCAACCCAAAGATTTACAAGAAGATTCAATAAAATGGACTCAATGCTTGAAAACTGATACAATTATCTCTCGTGGCAAATCAATCAAGAAGACAAAATCTAGATTTATGTGACCAGAAAATAGCCGCACGAGTAAACTCGTGCTGACTTTATACATTTTACCGAAATGTATATAAATATTCTTTTAAAGAAAGATATCTATTAAAAGAAATGCTGTATTTCTATAATAACTCGGAATATATATTTTACTAGTAAAACTTTTGCTGTATTTATTGTACACGAGGGAAGATCAAAATGTGATTTTAGGTGAGCTAACTTGTCAAATACACAATTTTCAAAATTTAAGAGCTATTCCCCAGACAAGAAAAACATGCAACCATACTTTTAATTTACTTTCAATAATCGTCAATTAAAATTTTAGGGTCGGCGCGCTCACGATAGGTTCGTTCCGGTTCTCCGAAACATAGGATTTCATTTAGGGCTAAGTATCATTTAAAAGTAATTTATATTATTCCCTGAATCTAGAACATATGTTTGGAAGTTATATATCATAGAAATATTAATTTAGAACATACGCCTAAAAGATATATATCATAGAAATATTCCTTTAAGAAACCAGAATAATTAAACGAAGAATAAATCATAACATGAAACAAAGTTATAAGTGCAAATTGTACTTTGGAATGCATGTTCCATTTAAAATATTTTTTTTCTTAAATGTGAATTCCGAGAAAGTTAATTTGAAATAGTTACGTCATCAGAAGTAAGATATTAATGCCAGCTAGCTAAATTTATGACTTTTATGACTTTTAACTTTTGAAATATTCTATAATAAGTGTCTGCGATAAATGCATGGGGAATAGTAATGTTTTCCATTACTTTAACCTATTTAGTTCTCATGAGATTTAAATATTTTAGTGTTGTTACAAAAACAACAACAAAAACAACAATTATTATTATAATGATATCATCATCATCATTATCATCATCATCCTCATCATCATCATCATCATCATCATCACAACATCAACACAAACAACATTAATTATAATGATATCATCATCATTATAACATCATCATTATCATCATCATCATCATCATCATCATCATCATCATCATCACAACCATCGATATTTCTTATCTTATCACCGTCATCAACATCATTATCATTATCTCAATTTTGATCATCTTTGCTGTAGTACAATACAATTATGGTTTCAGAATTTTATGCATTGGCATTCACTAACACTTCCAAATGGCTATACATCGTGATCAGCGGTCTTTAAGATTTAAAACATGATAAAAAATTTCTAAAGATAAATGAGAACAATTTTCGTTAGCAGCAACAAATAAAAACTTTTGACTAGGTGAGCCAACTCATCCATTTAGTCTGTCCAGACGGTGTATTGTCGGCTGCCTAACTATATCATTTTGCCCTGAAATTCTTTAAATGATCACTGGACAAGTCAAGACTTACCTTTGTTGAGGACAAATAGTTCGAAACTAGCGAACTTTGAATCACAAACAGTGTCATAATACTTTTATTATTGGAATTACAGCATAGTCTTGATTTGCTAAATGAATATTGTGATAAGTGGGGGCTTGAAGTCAACACTGATAAAACAAAAATTGTTGTATTCAGAAAGCGAGGCCCGTTAAATGCAAACGAAAAATGGACATACAAAGGTAGCTTAATAGAAACTGTAAATAACTTTAATTATCTAGGCACTGTTTTTAATTACACGGGCTCTTATACTTTAAATCAGACGACATTAGTAGGTAAAGGATTAAAAGC